GTATGCATGCAGGTAAGTATAACTATGCATATATATAAATATATATATATATTATATAATATATATATATATATATATATATATATGTGTGTGTTGTGTTGTGTGGTGTGTGTGTGTGTGTTGTGTGTGTGTGTGTGTGTGTGTGTGTGTAATGTAACGCAATGTAATGTAATGTAATGTAATGTAATGTAAAGCAATGTAATATAAATGTATTGCTTGTATGTATGTGATATAGATATCATTCGACTGCAAAACAAACACTTGAGGGAATGTAGGCGAATTCCCGGCCACTTAAGGTTAATTCCCACTTTAGCAGGCCATAAACGGACCGTGACCCGACTGCCGGCCGACAACAGTCCGTCTATCCATTCTGCGCCTTATGGTCTCTTGGCATACGGTCGCAGCGCTGTCTTTTCCTTGTACCCGGAAGGATCGTTAGTGAATATGTTTAAGAAATTTAAGCGACTTGGCTGTAATGCTCGTTAGGCTTGGAGAGGGGAGAGGGAAGGAAGAGTAAAGGAGGGAGAAGGAAAAAAGGGGGGGGGAACTCAGAATGTCAGAGTTTCATTTCATTGAGGAATTTGTAGGAGAAGCGCGTACTTTAGGGGCGGTATAACAGCGAAAGGAAAGATTAAGTTATTAGAAATGATGCAGTTCTCTCTATCTATCTATTTCTCTCTCTCTCTCTCTCTCTCTCTCTCTCTCTCTCTCTCTCTCTCTCTCTCTCTCTCTCTCTCTCTCTCTCTCTCTCTCTCTCTCTCTCTCTCTCTCTTCCACCTCCCCCATTTCGTTAATTAAATGATTAATTAAATTATATATTCTCGTCCGTACTTCTACATACGCGAGTGGCACATACGAGGCAGCTGATTCCCTGGTCGTCGCCGGACCAACACCTCGGAGTATCCTCGCCAACCTCTCCTATTCAAAACTGGGGTGGAAGCTGTCTGACATGGGAGCCCCTGTCTAGCTTTATATATATATATATATATATATATATATATATATATATATATATATATATATATATATATATATATATATATATATATATATTACACCACATTATATATCTTTATATTGCATATATGTGCGCATGCATGCGTGTATCTTGTGTGTGTATATATGTATATATATATGTGCACATACACACATACATACATACATGCATACATACATAATATAATATATATATATATATATATATATATATATATATATATATATATACATATATATATACATATATGTATATATGTATGTATATAATGTATATATATATGTATATATGTATATATATTATTTGTATATTATATGCATACACATGTAAAAGTATAATGAAACTGTATATATGTATGAATATGTATACGTATATATATATAATATATATATATATATATATATATATATATATATATATATATATATATATATATATATAGACAAATATATGTGTATATATATAAGTATATATATAAACACATGTATATGTATAAGTATGTTTATACATATGTGTGTGTGTATCTATATATACATAAAATTATATATACATATGTGCGTATGTATGTATGTATGTATGTATAAATATATACATTAATGTATGTGTATATGTAATCCACCGCCCATCAGGAAAGGCAATGAGTGACGGCCACTCACCGACCCCTCAGAGGCCGGCGATCCGTTGCGGCCTCGAGGTACACATGCCTATACGACACCTTGAAGAGGAAACGTTAATTACCATAATTACCAATTGTAATGAACCCGTTTCTTCTATTATCCGCGTGGGTCGCTGTCGGGCCGCGTTGATCCCGTTGGTTAGGTCTCTCTCTCTCTCTCTCTCGCTGAAAGATGATGGGGTGTCTATTTAAGACGTGGGGGGGGGGAGGGAGGGAGGGAGGGAGGTGATAGATAGATAGAGAGGCGAGTGAGGAGTGTTATCGGGTCCTTTCCTTCGTACTGACCTTTCGCCCGCAGCCCGTTAGTTAACCTGGGCCTCGGGGCGTGTTCTGCCTCCCTCCTCCTCCTCCTTCTGCGCTTCCTCCCTCGTTTTTCGTCCTCCTCTGAGTCTTCTCCTCCTTCTGCGCTTCCTCCCTCGTTTTTCGTCCTCCTCTGAGTCTTCTTTTCCTCTTCTTGTTCTTTATGCACTGTCTTTCTTTCTTATTTTCGTCTCTTCTTATTCCTTCTCTGACTCCTCCCCTCTACCTCCTTCTTCCTCATCTATATCTTCATCATCCTCTTCCTTCTCCTTCCTCCTCCTTCCTCCTCCCCCCTTTTCCCCTTACTTCCTCCTGCATTTCCCTTTTTTTTTCCTTCTTTCCTCTTTCCTTCCCGTCTTCCCTCCTCCTCCTCTTTTTCCTTCCTGCACCTTTTTCTCTTTTTATTTTTTCCCTTCTGTCCTCCCTACCACCTCCTCTCTCCTCTTCTTTCTCCTCCTCTTCCACCATCCTCTTCTCTCTCTATCTATCTATCTATCTATCTCTCCCTCTGTCTCCCTCCTCATCCTCCTCTCTTTCCCTCTTTCCTCCTTTCCCTCTTTCCTCCTTTCCCTCTTTCCTCCTTTCCCTCTTTCCTCCTTTCCCTCTTTCCTCCTTTCCCTCTCTCCTCCTTTCCCTCTCTCCCCCCTCCGACGTCCCTTCTCGCTTCCCCACCACCCACGCTTCCCTCATTGGAGACAACGCATAGGTGGGCCCTAAAGCGGGGGGACCGGACGGGGGGGGGTGGCCGGGGGGGCGCTTCCTTGGGGGGGAGGAGAGTCGACTGGGTTCCTTTTTTTTTTTTTTTTTTTTTTTTTTTTTTTTTTTGTTAACTTTGCTTTGAGTTAATTTAACGTCGTTATTACAGTTAGGTATTTGTAGATTTTATTCGTTTTCTTTCTGTTTTTACTTTTTTTTTTATGTTGCTCATCATTGTTGCTGCGGTGTGTGTTTGAGGTCTCGTTATGCTTTGCCTGCAATAGCCTCAGTTGAACTGGCGTTGTGTTTGTTTCGGCTTTGTCGATGTTGGTTTAATGGTCGCGGAACGGCTTAGGCGAGTGAGTGAGTGAGTTCGTGAGTGAGTGAATATGTGAAAGAGGGAGAGTGAGTGTGTGAGAGAGTGTGTGAGTGAGTGAGTGAGTAAGTGAGAGAGTGAGAGAGAAAGAGAGAGAGAGAAAATAGGTAAGGAAAGGAACGAGGGAAATGATAGGTAAGAGAGCGAGAAAGACGAGAATAGGAAAGATGAAAAAAGAAAACAAGGGAGAGAATAGGCAAGAGAAAAGGACGGTCCAGTTTGGACATTGCTTACCAAGAGGACAAGAGAAGAGACCCAGAACGATCCGAAGAGGAGAGGAGAGGGAGAGAAGAAGGCGGCAAAAAAGTGGCTTACCTCGAATTTTCTTCTCACGCTGTCAACCTCTTTCTTCTTCTTTTCTCTTTCTCTCTTTCGTTCTATTTCTTTCTATTTCTTCCTTTCTTTATATTTCCTTTTCCTTCCTCTTCGTCCGCGTTTTCTTGTGTTACTTTTCTTCATCTTCGTCTTCTTTATTGTATAGGTCCTCTTTCACTCTGCCTTTCTTTTCTTATCTTTCTGTCTCCCTTCTCCTCGTCCGCTTTTTCTTGTGTTCCTTTTCTTCATCTTCGTCTTCCTTCCTCTTTCACTCTGCATTTTTGCTCTTTCTACTTGATTTTCCCTTCTCTCTCTCTTCAATTTACATTACTGAAAACAAAAGTGCATAACCTTATCGAAGGGTCATTTCCATTCGCATATTATCTTTCGTGTTATCTTCCTGTCTTCTCTTTGTTTTTCTTTCACTTCCCCCTTTTGTATTTGCGTCTTTCCTCTTGCTTCCTTCTCGTTCCATGACCTTCCCTTTGTTCCGATCCTGTGGACGCTGGCGCTTGTTTTTTTTTCATTCTGCCTGCGTGTTTGTTTTGCGTTACTCTGGTTCTCTCTCTTTTTTTTCCTTTCTTTTTTTCTATTTTTCTTTCTCTATTTCTTTCTCTCTCTTTTTCTACTTTTCTTTATTTCTATTTATTTCTTTCTCTTTTTATTTCTCTTTATTTCCCTCTCTTTCTCTTTATTTCTCTCTCTCTCTTATATTCTCTCTCTTCTCTCTCTCTCTCTCTCTCTCTCTCTTCTCTCTCTCTCTCTCTCTCTCTCTCTCTCTCTCTCTCTCTCTCTCTCTCTCTCTCTCTCTCTCTCTCTCTCTCTCTCTCTCTCTCTCTCTCTCTCTCTCTCTCTCTCTCTCGTTTTTCCTAATTTCCCTCTCCCCCTCTCCCTCCACCCAAGCGGATCACTATGTGCTGTACATTTTACATGAGTCTTGCGGGCGTGTAAAAGAGAGCATATAGCGTCTTTATTACGGCCCTGTGTAATTGAGGTAGTTTCGTTAAAATATCGCGCTGGCCAGGTGTAGTGAGGTTGTAATTTAGGTGAAGTATCGCACTGATTATTCTTGAGGAGCAACAGTTGGGACTTGTACGGACTGGGGTTTCTGTGCATGTTGTACGTTGGGGTCGGTGTGGTTGTTTTTTTTTTTTTTTTTTGTTTTGGTTGTTTGTTTGTTTGTGGGGTGTTTGCTAGCGGGGGGGGGGCTATGCGTGGAAGCCCGTTGGAAATTCGTTTCTCTTGGGGTTTGGACGGGTTTGAATCGGTAGCTGTGAGAAATATTTTTTTCTATTACTTATTTTATTTATTTTATTTATTTATTTATTTTATACGGAGATCTAAATGAATTGCGTTTGTATGCTGCGTGTTAAATTTGTTTTAATGTGGCCTTTCTGTTAGCTAGGCGCGTTCTTTACTTCCTTCAGTCGTGTATAAGCATAGGCACTTGATGCGAATTTTATATAAAAAGTGTAAGATTGGATTTGCGTTGTATATGCATATGAGTATTGTGTTTTTTTAGCAACTGTGTATACTTCGACACCGTATGATGCCGTAGAATAAAGACTGATATCAATGTTGACGCTTTTTTCTTTTCGCAAATGTGAGGTTCCCTCGTTGACAGCGCCCCTTCGTTGCAGGTTGTGATGCGAGGCGAGAGCGGCGAAGCCATCGTGGGCGCGGGCGTGGGGGATGAGGGCATGCTATCGCGACAGAGCTCCGGGGGCGTCAAGTCCCCCGCCAGCCCCCCCCTGAGCGCCGCGGCCTCCCAGGTGTCGCTGGCGCCCAGCGACCTCACCACCAGCGACCCAGACATCGCCGGCTCCTCGGCCTACTCGTCGGCGCCCTCCTCCAGGCCGCCCTCGTCCTCACAGGTGTCCCTGGCGCCCAGCGACCTGCACTCCAGCGACCTCGACCTCACGGCCACCTCCTCTCCCACGTCGTCCCGCCCGCCCTCCTCCTCGGGCATTGCCACGCCCGACCTCACGCTCCCCGCGCCCGAGGACTACACGGCAGAGACAGGTGAGGCGCGTTCAGACGGAGAACACTCGGATACCTATCGTCACTCAGTCACCTTTCACGCTCATTGAGTCTCTCTCTCTCTCTCTCTCTCTCTCTCTCTCTCTCTCTCTCTCTCTCTCTCTCTCTCTCTCTCTCTCTCTCTCTCTCTCTCTCTCTCTCTCTCTCCCCTCCCTCTCTCTCTCTCTCCTCTCCCTCTCCCTCTCCCTCTCCTCTCCCTCTCCCTCTCCTCTCCTCTCCCTCTCCCTCTCCCTCTCCCTCCCTCTCCTCTCTCTCCTCTCCCTCTCCCTCTCTCTCTCTCTCTCTCTCTCTCTCTCTCTCTCTCTCTCTCTCTCTCCCTCTTTCTTTCTTTCTTTCTTTCTTTGCCTTTCCCTTTTTTTTCTTTCTTACAAATATACATATATCGAAAACACACTTTGTAGCTTTATACAGGATAAAACCCCGTTTTTCTGTCCATGCATACATTTTTTTTCTTGACCTTCACTTTCATTGGCAAATCTTGATCTCATCCCATGTCTTAGTTCCTTTCACCAAAATCACATCCACGACTGACCGTCGGTTCCTTCCCCGCAGTGGAGTTCCCGACGAGTCCCTTGGCCATGAAGACAGTGGGCCTCAAGTCCAACGGCGTGTGCCTCGTGGACTCCGAGGATTCAGGCACAGGCACACGCAGCATGTCCAACTTCCTCAGCCCAGATTACAAACCAGGTAAAGTCGAGATCCGTGGGCTGTGGCTTTGCATCGGCCGAGTGTGTCATTACCTGTGTTGTCTTTGTACCGTATCTCGTTCAGTAACCCAAGCGATGTTGAATCCTTGCATCCTTTTGTATTTGTCTTGTAATATATAACGTTGGCTTCGAGTAAGAAAATGAGAGTTATCAGCTGTATTTGCTCATTAAGAATTAAAGTAACGTGTGTTGCTACAATGTACAGATCAATTGTTCAGCTGTTGATTGTAGAATAACAAAGTTTTGTAGTTGCCAAGCATGAGCTGGTATGTACTTGATATTGCTGTAAAATCCTGCTTGCAGATTTGTCTTTGTGTTAGAGTAAGAATTTCGCTTTGTATTTAGCAGATGTAGTAATAGAAGATCTTGTTGCAGATGAGCTAGAATCTTGTGAGAATTCTCCCAGACAGGGAGATGGCTTTGAAGTCAGTAGTGACCTAGAGGAGGATTATTTCGAGGAATTCCATCTGCCAAACTCGCACGAAAACGCCTTCGTGCGGCACAAGAGCTTCCGCCGCAAGGTGAACCTGACCCCCATCAACGCCCCCGACGCCGAGAAGATCGAGGGCTTGGTGCGGGCGGGGGAGTTCCAGAGGCACGGCAGCATGCGGCGGAAGATCGTGCCCGCCGAGACCACCATCCAGGAGCACGTCGACAATGAAAAGTCCGCACTGGATAGCAACGAGAACCTCAAGGAGGCCGGGGCGAACGTCACACTCAACTCCGAGGTGGGAACGTTCGCCAAAGACCTCCAGGAAATCGAGAACTTGTTGAATGACTGCGAAGTGGGGGAAGACATCTCGGACATCGTGCTGGATTCAAGTGCGGGCAATGACCTAAGGAAGGAATTGGAAGAGAGCGACAGATCGACGCTCCAGCAAGGGAAAATCCAACACACGAACACGTCCACGCCCAAAACTAACAGCACAAGGAGCACTTCCACCTACGCCGCGACAGACCTGAGTTTGAGTCTGACGGAGGAGAGTCGCGAGGACGAGAGCCTCAGCATCGAGCAGAGCACACTCATGAAGGTGCGAGAGTGCCTAGACTTCACCAAGTACAGAGACATGTACAACCTGAGTGGCAGATTGCAGGACATTCTGACACCAAAAGAAGTGGAGGAGATATTGAACAATTCCGAACGGTATAGCGAATACGTAGATAAGGAAGTAATCGAAGCGTTACACAATTCCCTGCAAGAACAGATTAGTTCACACAACACCAGAAATACAGTGGACAGTGGAATTTCCTCGCCAAAGAAAACGGTCATAACGACGGAAGGCCTCGATCTGGGCAACACCGTGAAAAAGGATATCAGGGCAGTTTTCGACGACAGCAGCCCAGTAGTTCATGAGAACGACAGCAATAGTTCAAAGCGGTCCTCAGATATCTTCATTGACGACATTGACTTTGATGACAGTGATGACACGGGCTTCAGATTTGAGAGGCGCAGATCCCTCAGGCTGAGCAAGGAGGGCCACGAAGAGCTGGAAGTCGAAGGGGTCTTCGTCGAGAGCAAGTCGCAGGACCTCGGCATGAAGAAGATCCCGGCGCCCGTTCTCGACCTGAGCGGCGCGACGAGCGAAGACCTCAACGACGTGCCCGACCTGTCCAATTCCGAAATCCTCACTCCCCAGAGGCAGCCCGATTTGCCAGGGATGAGCGAGACCCGCGTACCAAACGGCGTCGCTCAGAACAAGCCGTTGGAGGTGCCAGACATCGTCATCACCGGGACCTGCGACCCGATCGAAACCCAAAACGAGTCCACTGAAAAGCTATTAGTCGAAGGTAGCGACTTGTCTGATGTTACTACTCCGTCCCTCGTCAACACCCCGTCCGTCGTCAACACCCCGAGCACCACGTTTGAGTACATGACGCCCGACGAAGGTAACATGACTTTCAATTACTCTTGTGTAAGGAGATGGGTTTGCTCTGTGAGGAGTTCGTAAGAATGTTGGGGATAACATCTTTGCATGTTTGTTTGACAGTAGAAAAGTCTCCAGTCTGGAATAAAGTATTTATGGTTCTTGCTATTACATATATACTCTTTTGTGGTTCACTTTTGCATCGGATGTGTAGAAAAAATCGGATGTTGAGGAAATGATGAAAGATTTTTTTTTAATGTAAATTTCTTAAATTTTAGTTATTTCGGGTTCTTCTATTACTGCCTTAGAAACTTACTAACTTTGGTCATTGTTTCATGTAGAGAGACCAAGTGTCCTTGATTTCGGGAACATCAGCCAACGCAAGCGCATTTCCGTGGCCGAAGACATCTTGCGGTCGCCGGTGGAGGACGACAACATCTCGGTTGCTTCGGCATTTAGTCAACGCAGCGACGGTGAAGACGAAGATGGCTTTGGTGTAAGTTTTCGCTTAATTCTGTTTTTATTTTTTCTATTAATCTCTCAGTTATTTGAACATTCAGTTTGTTGGTTAGCACCTGGGTATTTGGGTATTGCAGTGATGGAGGCTTTTCTCATTCTCGTTTTCTTCAAAATTTATTGTCTCAGTAAGAAATATTCACTCAAACCAAAAGCTGGTCCGTAGATTTTTAAAGACTTGTTTCAGACGACTTTTCCTTTCTAACCCGTAAGAGTGTAAACATTTTATATGTATTCCAGGAAGTGATGCATTAGCAGATATTATTGAATCCCGAGTGGAATTGGCAGATATTCCACGCACGAGCTCTCAGTTCAAGGTTTTAACAGCCTGTCCCTTTCCCTTCATCCATTGCAGGACGAGGACTTGGATATCTACCAGACCCCGAAGGGCAACCTCGGGGCCCCCAGCGAGAGCACCCAGCACCTGGAGCCCATCCCCACCCCGCCGCCACAGCTACTCATCCCAGAGTTCTCCGCCTCCGAGGAGTCCGCCGAGGAGAGGCACTGGAGGAGCGTCGTCATCGGCGGCGTCTGGCGCAGAATAGACATGAAGGTCATCGCGCCCTATCGCAAGGTTGGTTTCTGGCCAAAGGCGGGGTTTGTGATCCGTTCATAGGACTGTTTTTATTATCGGTGTTGTTGTTACTGGTATTCTTAATTTTAATTTTCATTATTTTTGTTAATTGTCATTGTTAGTTGTTGTTACTATTATTGTTATTATTTGTTTTCTGATGTTAATGTGATTATTATGATATAATTATGATCATCATAATTAGATATGATCACTTACTAGTGCTATTATTATGACTAATATTTTTACTGCTACTGTTACCATTACAGTCACCATGACCACAACTATCACCGTTACCATTACCACAACTGCCACCTTGTGCCACTACTACTACAACTGTTGACATACTCTCAATATAGTAATAAAAGCTAAAAAAAAATCCAGATTACCTATTTGCTTGTTTCAGTGTGTGAGTCACGGAGGTTACCTGGGTGGAGATCAGAATGCAGTGATCGTCATCAGTGCCTGCCAGTTGCCAGACCGCTCACGAAGAGACTACAACTACGTCATGGATAACTTATTCCTGTTAGTTGAATATTTGGTTTGATATCAACTACTGAGCTTTGTATTGTGCATGATATACAAAAGGATGTTGTATGATTTGTTATATTAGATATATTTGTAATCAGTGTGGTTGGATTTTGTAAACCCCCAGGATGGCCCTAGCATGAGCCAATAATCAGGCTCTTGCTTAAACTTTCACATAGTAGATAAATAAGTAATCTTTCAAAACCACCTCAAAGAGTTGTTTAAGTTTTACTTTTGAGTGTTTAGTCATCTCTGTATTTACTTGTCCTCTCTTGTTGCAGTTACGTTTTGTCAACCCTGGAACAGCTGATTGCTGATGATTACGTCTTAGTGTACCTTGCTGGAGGAACCCCCAAGTCTCACATGCCAAACTTCCACTGGTTAAAACGAGCCTATCAGATGATCGACCGCAAACTGCGAAAGAATCTAAAAGCCCTCCATGTGGTGCACCCCACCTTCTGGGTTCGCACAGTTGTTGCCTTCTCCAGACCTTTTATAAGGTTTGTTAGATTTGATTGATTTATTTTTTTTATTCTTTGTTTTAAGCAATTTATATAGACAACAGGCCGTCTGCTGACCAGTTGGATTGAAGTTGTAATATAATTTGCATCAGGGATAGGATACCCTTAATGAAAATGCACAAATTCTTGAGTAAATATAAATATAACCAAAGTTAAAGAATGGCAAAGGTCATTTGACCATTGCACTTATTTTTTTTATTTTTTTATTTTATTATTTATTATTTATTTATTTTTTATTTTTTTTTCTTCTTCTTCCACTTCTTCTTGCTAATTATTTGTCCTATTGCATGTTAAGAAATGTTCGTTTTACTCAGGTCTTCACAAAGTGAAGTGGAATATAAGATTTTATAGATGTTGCGATGTCAAATTATACATAATTAAGAAAGTTAGGTAACAGATCTCAAGCACAATTTCATTTAACTTCTAATCGGAGAAATTACCCTTTCAGCACGAAGTTTTACCGGAAGCTTACCTTTGTCAATAACCTTACGGAGTTAGCACAGGTTGTTCCCCTCGATCAGCTAGAAATTCCAGATGCCGTTAAACAGTAAGTATTTTCTACATGTGAATCTTCAGTTTTGTGTTGTGTGTTTTTTTTTTTTTTTTTTACATCATACTTTTAAGTGGCTGGCATGTACAATAATGCTTTTTATGTTTAATGTTGGTTGACATGTTTTTGCTTTTTTTTTTTTTACTGATTTTTTAAATGTGTGATTTACATGGTTTTTATTGCATTTTCAAGCTTCTTGATTCAAGAAGGTAAAGTTTATTAATATGGATTGCTTATGTGTAATTTATACAAGTATATAATGGTGGGCAAATTCTTCTAAAATAGATCAATGAGAAACAGTTATCTAAAGAATGTTTATTAAAATATTTTCCTGTGCAGTATATTTTCCTTAATTTTTATAGTGGTAGTACTTGCCCTAAAGATTTCTGCAGAAATTTACCTAAGTGAAAGGTGTACCATAACTATTCTTCCCTAGACTCCTTGCACCCAATATGAAAATATGAAAATGAACTGCGATCTTCAGTGTTATACTTACTGATTTGGATTTGTAGTGTAAAATACCATGAAAAATTATGTATGTATATTGAAGAAAATAGAGTAAGTAAATAGTTCAAATATGTTCCCAGTAGGTTGCAATATCATGCATATGTAGAAGGAAAAAGAACAACAGTTATAAAGCAGAGAGATTGGTCATGATTATGAAATCATTTTTTGGTTTTGATAATGTTGAAAAATTCTATCCACAAGCAGGCAAAGGCAAGCCACTTCACCACATGAGTTTTTGGATAAATCCAGCCATTCTTGGGATTAAAGCGATACTGTAAGTGGGTGTAGAAAACAAACGATTTTGTTGTTAACGGCTTGTGCTCAACTCCATTATCCTGTGGAAGATGTACTGTAATCGTCTACATGTGCTGTATTGCTTATTCGTTTAACATTGGAGCACGGCAAGTGTGTTCATTTTGGTGAGCTGGAGTTATTGAATAGAAAGACTGCTTTTCTGTAGCTGATATTATCACTGATGGAATGTTTCAAAGTAGAGGTAAGGACAAAGGAATAATGGGAAGTTATGTCACAGAGGAAGATCATTGGGGGTTAAGATAATTTCTTGATATTTAAGTAATTGGTCACATGATGATGAATCAGTTGTGGACTTGCTTAAGTATGGTAAGGGATCATTCAGATTTGTGGTCGTCTAGGCTTAGCATAGGGTGCTTTTCTATATATTCCTTTGAGGAAAATGTATGTGCTACATAATTTCATAAAGCTGTATGTAGTCAAGAGAGTTCAAAAAGTATATTCCATACATTGATGATGTGTGAATTTGTTCTAAGATAACTGCTTTCTGTTGATTTCGACTTGTTAATTACTATCCTTTGCTGTAGCTGTGGTGTAGAATGTTTTCCCCTTTATTGTGGTTGATTTCATTTTGCTCTACCATTGATTCTCAACATGAAACTGCTCCAGATGCTTGTTTCACAAAACCTTTGCATGAAGAAAGGAACTTGCTTAGAAGACCTAGAAACATTGAATGTTGAGAACCAATGTATTTTTTTTTAACCCATTATAATCCTAACACTAACATGCATTCTCAAAACCCTAGCCATGATGAGAATAGGAGATCCATCTTTGCTTTGCTGGGTCTCACTCCCTATGAACCAGGTAATGCTCGTTGACCTGTGCTTTTTATTTACCTTTTTGAGGCATTTCCCTCATTCTTTAGGCATTTAGTTTTTTGTTTTTCTTTTGTCTGAGGCTCAGCGTTCACATGACGGGGTGACGAATTACTGTACTTTTGATTTTATGACTAGAGAAAATAATTCAGAGTAATTTTTCTTTTTTGAAGAGCATAGTTGACTGCAATATATCTCAAGTTGATGAATCTTACATGACATATAGGAAGATGTAAATTAAGAGAGAGTAGAATTTTACTAAATGCTCAATTTTTTTATCATAGCAAGCAAGTTAGATATTAAAAACATTTGTCAGCTTCTCTTTTTTAACAGAGTAAGATCTCTATGGAATAATTCTTCACCAGGTGTGAACTGTAGTTATTATTTTTTTTTTGTAATTGTATGATTAATGCATATTTCATATATCTTCATTTTAGTCTTTCTTTGAGGAAAATGTACTAATAATATCCCTTCTGTATATACCATTCAAATTTAGGCTGCATGATGTACTTTATAAATATAGGTGTTTTATAGTTTTCCTCAATATTATGGAAGGATATTTGTTGACTTTAAAGTATTTGATATGTTTTATTAAAGTACCCTGTTATTAATAATCTTTTTTATCAGTATCTAGATCGTAAGATTTTACAGATTTCTTTTATTACCATTCTGAGTAAAGTATAGTTCCTTCATTGAAAAGTTTACTCTTTCCAGCAAATTAGTTGCCTATGTCTCACATCATACGATTACTTTTTCAGAGCGGACTTTGAGCTAATGATTCGAGAGAAGAAGAAGAACCTCAACAAGAGCAGAACACCCTCTCTGGTAGCCAGATGAGGCACTTGTTCTCCACTTCCCTGAGCGTTTTTGCCTGTTGTTTGTCAGTTCAGACAGTCATTGCTTGAGTGGTCTTTGAGTGTTTGCGTATCTGGATGTTTGTTGCCTTTTCCTTTCTTGTTTTTTGTCTAAAATAATTGTTTTAGTAATGAGAATAACACCTTCCTGTCATGCTTCTTTTGTGTGGATGAAAAAAAGCAAACTTTTTGCATTATATTGATTGTTATTCTGTGAGAATGTTATGTAACATGTATGTCTGTCTGTGCTGTTTTTTTATTATTAATGTCTTCAGGTTGTAGCTGTCTGTATATGCATTTCATTTATGAATCATTTAAATAGGTTTATGATGTGGAAAACAGTGTGGTTACAATCATATAGCTGCCTGTTTCTGGAACCCTGTGCTGAAGCAGTGCATTTAAAAGTTACAAGGAAAAGTCATTTATATTAAGTTAAAAACTGTTTCAGAAATCAGTTCTCAATATGAAGTGAAATAAGTCTTTGCTTCATGTATTACTAAAATAGTTTGGGATTTTGAAATACCAGGAGCTGTAGAGAAGATTGTACTGTGTAAATATGTAAGGTAGAAGGTATTTGCCAAATTTGGAGGAACTGGCTCTTAGCAATTAACCTTTTTCTTCATTCATGATACAAAGTCTGATTACTTAGGGCCCCTATGCATATTCTGTACATATAACCTTACATGCCATATGACTTATATTTCTAACCATCTGGAGAAACTTAAATGAAGCTTCCAGTCTTCAGATGGAATGTCACCGAAATGTTTAGTTTCTCCTACTCCTGTAAATATAACATTAATGTGATATCCTATGTGATACTGGTAACTGTATTGTGATGATCATGACAGTTAACAGTGACTGGGAAAAAAGGAGAAAGTGTGTTTTTTTCCATTTATTTATTTTTTATTTAAACATATTTTTATCAGAATGGAGCATTATCTTTTAGAGATGTGGGTGAAGGCTTGTATCTGTACTATTTTCAGTTGCAAGCCACAATTGAATTTATAAAAAGCTTCTGCTAGTGAAGGGATTTTAAAAGGACTGACATATTTCCTGTGTAGATTTTCCTTCAGTGATTTGATCCACCTCTTCGCAGATCAGCTGTTTACTAGTCCTCGTCATCCACTTTGAAGAGCTTTATATTAATATAAATGTAGTGCTTCCACTTAACATACTTCTTGATGATAAACAAATCATAGGTTGATCAACTCAAACACTTGAATTTTCCCTTTTTTCCCCCCTTATCATATGCTTCATGGCACTTAAAGTGGTACTTCTTTTTTAAGTGCGAGTAAATCTTACGGCTGTTCAATTTATGTCTTGCATATCTTAACTAGCTATTGTGTGCATATGAAGATGTATATTTATTTTCTTTTATATAGTAAGTAAAGTTAACCTTGTGTTGACCTAATAAACAAAATCAAATATTATGACTGCTTTCTTTTACCTATATATAGATGAATATTAATACAACACATGTAAAACTCCATACAGTCACCCAGTCTCTCTCTCATTTCTCTGTGCCTCTATCTCTCTCTCACTCACTTTCACTCTCATTCACCTCTCTTACTCACTCATTCACCTCCCTCTCACTCACTCATTCACCTCCCTCTCACTCACTCATTCACCTCCCTCTCACTCACTCATTCACCTCCCGCTCACTCACTCACTCACTCACTCACCTCCCGCTCACTCACTCACCTCCCGCTCACTCACTCACCTCTCTCACTCACTCACCTCTCTCACTCCCACTCACCTCTCTCTCTCTGTGTGGGGTTGTGGGGTCTATGCGTGTGCGTTTGAGTGCGTGTGTGTGTTTGTTTGTGTGTGTGTGTGTGTGTCTGTCTGACTTCT